GTGTTTTTTTTTCCCCGCTAGTCTGGACGTTCCCCCTGTCGACATCAAAGCCCTTTGTCAGCAACCCCGTTATTCCTCGTGGAATGAGGTTTACCGGGGCTGCCGACAAAGGGTTTTGATGTTGACAGGGGGAACGTCCAGACTAGCGGCGAGCTGACAAACAGCTGATCAGCTGTTTGTCGGCTCAGCGTGGCAGCCATGTAAATGTAAATGAAGCCACAATCATTTAAATCACGGCTTCATTTACCTTTGCTGAACAAACAAATCTACATGGCTCTGCCGACGGAGGCATGTAGTTTAGACGTACCCTATGTTAGGTGTCCAATCACCAGGCCCTTCTTGGGAAAACAGAAACAAAGAAGTCATTAAGCACCTCTGCCATTCCCGCATTTTCTCTGATTGTCTTCTCTTCATTGAGTAACGGATCTGCCTTGTCCAGTCTTCCTCTCCCTTCTAATGCATCTGTAGAATGTTTTCTTGTTACCCTTTCTAGCTCTAGCTAGTTTGAGCTCATTTTGACCCTGGGCCTTTTGAATTTTGCTCCTATTTGTGTATATGCCAACTTTACTTTTGACGTAGTCTCCACTTCTTGTAGTGCCTTGCTTTGGTTTTTAGATTGTGCAGGTGCCCTTGGCTAAGTCAGGGTGGTCTCTTGCTAGATTGCTCATCTTTCCCAGGCAGTGGAATAATTTGCTCTTGTACCCTTAATAGTGTCCGTTTGAAAAACTGCCGGCTGTCTTTTATTGTTTTTCCTCTTAGACTTGCTTCCCCTGAGATCTTATCTCCCAAGGATCTGAGTTTGCTAAGGCCTGCCCGCCTTGAAATCCATGATCTTTATTTTGCTCTTCTCCCTCCTCCCATCCCTTAGAATCATGAACTCTGCCATCCCATGGTCCTTTTCACTCAAGCCACCTCCCACTTTCAAATTCTCAACCAGTTCCTCCATATTTCTCAAAATCTAACCTGGAACAGCCTCTCCCCATTGGTCCTGCTTTGGGCAGGAGGATGGACCCAGTGACCTCCTGAGGTCTCTTCCAACCCTAGGATTCTAGGATTCTTAGGCTTCAAGTCTCCTGGTGACAACAGAAGCCGCTTGCTTACAACAGGGCTACTCAACTTTGGGAGCCTGGGGGGCCACAATGATGCTCATAGCACATGCCAAAGGCCTCAACTGTAGTATGGTTGCATGTACATGCAGATGTATATGCAGATATATGCAAATAGCCTCTTTCACACAATGTCCCGGTGCTCCCAGTACCTCCTCCCAGTCTGGTCTAGCCAGCCCGTCTGCTTGCATCTTTCAGTGCTCACCCTGCCTGGGAGACACCTCACCATTGTGGAGAGTGTTCTCAGTGGAGACCAAGTTCAAAGGATCCCACCTACATGTTGAGCCCCATGTAAACCCAAACCGCACCGCGGGCTGCAAACAAACAGGCCGCAGTCCGCATGCGGTCCCTGGGCCGTGTGTTGAGTAGCCCTGGCTTACAGGATACAAGCTAGTCAGTTCTGTGCATTAATAATACATAATATCATGCCAAGCAGTGAACTGAAGAGAGGTGAGTTGGCCCATTGGGGTGCAGCAGATCCCAAGGCTAGCAGACACCACTGTGACCATATAGCCTGACCCCCTGTATAGCACAGCCCAGAGACATGCTCCCAAATGTCTCCCTGAGCAGAGCTGCTAGAATGACGTACCGCCTTGATTTCACACTTAACCATGTGGGAGAATCTACCACGGCCTTTGACAAATAGCTCCAATGGTTCATTACCATTCTCATTAAAGAAATTGCGCCTTAATTCCCATCTGAATGTGTCTCACTTCAGCTTCTGGCCATTGGATCCTGTCACAACTTTCCCTGTTAGACTGAAGGGCCCGTTGTGAAACCTTGGTGCCCCATGTAGGGCCTTACCTACCGTAATCTAGTCATCCCTCCATCTCTTCTTCAAATTGAGCAGATTGCATGTCCTGAGTCTGTCTCGGTGGGACACGTGCTCTATCCTTTGGCTAGTGCTCCTGGACTTTCTCTGACACCTCCCCAACTTAGTACCACCCTTGAGCGCCAGACCCCAGAAAAGGACTCAGGACGACAACTGTGGTCATCCCAGTGCTGAATGCAGAGGCAAATAAGCAAGGCGGCAGAGAGTGGCACAATAAAAGAACTTTTGACTAAGGAACTTGAGGTGGAAGACACTGCCCCACACACTTTAGGGCGGGTGTCCTGCTCACAGGTTTATGTTTCTGCATCCTGCCTGGGGCATTTTCCCTAATTAATGTCAGATGATTTCCCACCTTCCACTGAAATTTTCTTTTCTACAATCAGACTCCAGGATAGTGAGTGGAGAACTTTTGTCCACCAGAGGCACCCAGTTCTTGCTTTGTCGACAGAACTGGATGTAGTCTAGATGCTCTTTGTCGACAAAAGCTTTGTCGACAGTATCTGTCGACAAAACTTCTGTTGACAAAACCCTGTAGTCTAGACATACCCTTACTCAAGAGCCCTGCCTCCTGCCTCTATTTTATCTTTAGAAAAGGGGGTTGCCCCAGAATGAAAGAGCTGAGTTGGGGGAGGAGCTAACTATGCCTCTGTGAGGGAGGTGAGCACCGTTTCCATCCCTTACTTAGCAGCACAAACAGAGGGGGCCTGAGTCCCTTCCCAGGACTCCTGTGTGTCAGGCCCTCACTCCAACACAGCTCTCCACTGCCTCAATGGGGAATGGGCCCAGCAGTTGTGCTGTGTGCAGAGCTAGCAACGGGAGAGGGCCTGCCTGAATGGCTTCTCCTGAGGCCCCTGATGTGACTCAGTCGCAAGCACCTGGCTGAGGGGGAGAAAGGGAATAGCAGGTGACAGTGCCTGTTGAATAGCCCCCTGTGCACAGCTGGTGCATCCACCATGGATCATGCAGCACCCAGAGGACTCAGCAAAGGTCAGGACTGTGATCACAGAGCAGCTCAGCAACATTTTTCTTTACCCATAAATGTTTAATCAGAGATGAAAAACCTGAGTGTCATGAGAAACAACATCCACATCCCCTCTCTTCACTGACAGTCTTGGGCGGAACTGGGAGGTCATAGCAGACACTGATGAAGTTCTTTATCAGCCAACATCCCACTGGTCCACTGGCATTCCATCAACACAGCTGATTTTTAACACATCTGTGTGCTTTGGTCTCCTTTTCTCAATGCACAGTCCTCTCTCACCAACTCCTTTCCTATTACACCCCATCGTATCCTCTCTCTCCAGAATGGGTATGTGTAGCTCATGATATCTTAGATATAAGGGTCCAGGATGGAACAGAAGGCCTTGGCTCATGTTTCTTGTCTCCCATCTGTTTCTTGTCTCCCATCTCACCTACACTGGGAAGGATGATAAAATGTCCCTTCAATGGACAAATATCCTGACTATTCTCGCACGAAGATGTTTGCTTTTCACACTGTACACAATCGGGTTAATCAGGGGTGGGACCAGCAGGTAGACATAGCCCAGGAGAATTTGAAGCAAAGAAGAGCTCTTCCCAAATCTGTGTATCAATGTCAGGCCTATCAATGGGGTGTAAAAGGCGAGGACGGCGCAGAGGTGGGAGACGCAGGTGTTCAGGGCCCTCAAGCACTCCGTGTGGGATGTGATGCTCAGCACCATTTTGAGGATGACCACATAAGAAAGGAAGATGAGCAGCGAGTCCAACCCTTCTGTTAAGAGTGTAATATACAAGCCATAGATGTCATTGACTGTGATATCCGAACAAGCCATTGTCATGACTTCTCCATGTATGCAGTAGCTATGGGAGAGGACATTTGCTCGACAGAATCTGAAACGTTTTAGGAGAATGGGGAATGGAAGCATTACGACCACCCCTCGGAGGGCAAACACAAGCCACATTGTGGCTATTCTCGGTGGCGTTAAGATGGAAGCATACCTCAAGGGGTCACGTATTGCAATGAGACGGTCGAAGGCCATCAACAAGAGCACAGAGGATTCAATGCATTCAAGTGCGTGGATGAAAAACAGCTGGGCAAAACAAGCATCCAGGCTGATCTCCCTATAATTCAACAAGAATATGCCCAGCGTCGTTGGCATGGTGGCTATCGATAAGGAAAGGTCTGTGAGAGCCAGCATGGAAAGGAGAATGTACATGGGTTCATGGAGGTTTGGATCTGTTTTTATAATGTACACAATGAATGAATTGCCTACTATTGAAATAGCATACACTAAGCAGAAGGGGATGGAGATCCAGAGATAGACGTCTTCCTGCCCAGGTATCCCAGTAAGAAGGAACACTGCAGATTGGAATCTGGTATCGTTGATAGCTGGCATTATATATTGAGTAGGTCTGATTAGTCCGGTTCCTTCCTGAAAGGAGAAAGAACAGACTAGATGGTATTTAGTGATACCTCGTCTCCTCTTAGTTCAAATCTAGAGACTCCTAGGAGTTCAAGAAAGATCAAGAAGTACATAGTCTTGGATTTGCACCCCCCACAGGAAGATAGGTATTGCCAAAGTAGGTTGGACCTGTATTCCATCTAGCCCAGTATTGACTAGCCAGTTCCAAATGTTTAGGAGGAAGGGAAGCCCTGAAATAGGCAACTTTGAGATGGTCTTCAGCCACTAATTAGACATGTTGTACTGTAAATCAGGAAAGCTAAGAGCCCTTCCAAGAGACCTTAAAGCCATCCTTACTAAATTAGCTGGATTTTCTGGTTACCCAGATAAATATCCTGTCCCTCTTTGAATCTAGCTAAGCTCATGGTATGGCATTACAGTCCATATTCCTTATGAAAATATTCTTATATGACTATTACATAACTGAGATGTACGTTATGCAAAATAACTTCTGTAAAATACCATCGGAAAGGTTATTTACTGAATGTACTTATCCTATTTGTATGTATCTTTTTTGTATCTGAAGTCAGAAATAGTGACTAGGTATCTGTATTCCAGCTGTGCTACTCTGGCTGATGCCCACTGCTAACGCTTCAGGTACTACAATGCAAAACCCATAAGGGTCTGACAGCCCACGAGCCAGGTCTATGGGCTATGAGAAGGCGTGGTCTGGCCTGGCCTTTCTGTGGGTGCCCTAGACTCCTAGTGACTCATGGATGTTGTAATGCTACCGAGAGACCTGGTCACTGCTACATGCAGGCTGGACTGCTGACCTGTTTTACTAGGAGGTGCAAGAATTAAACAAAGGGTTCTCACCTTATAGAAATTGTATGTAAGTTTGGGGAGGAAAACAATCAGTGATGGGAGGAATGGTGCTAGTTTGCATGTGTTCTTATTTTCTTACTCTCCTTTATTCTGTGTATGCCTCGTGAAATGAGGTTTACTGGAGCGGTCAACAAAGGCTTCCCTTGTTGACCATGCCACATCTAGACAGCCGTGCTGTGATGGATCAGCTGATTGTCGGCACAGCGTGGCGGCCATTTTTATTTTAATGACGCGGGGATTATTTAAATCCCTGCTTCATTGACTATGCCGAGTAAATTACTTTACATGGCTCCGTTGATGGAGCCATGTAGTCTAGACACACCCTTAGGCTGTGTCTACACTGGCAAGTTTTTCCGGAAAATCAGCCGCTTTTCCGGAAAAACTTGCCAGCTGTCTACACTGGCCGCTTGAATTTCCGGAAAAGCACTAACGATCTAATGTAAAATCATCAGTGCTTCTCCGGAAAAACTATGCTGCTCCCATTCGGGCAAAAGTCTTTTTCCGAAAGATTTTTGCGCAAAAGGGCCAGTGTAGACAGCACAGTAGTGTTTTCCGCAAAAAAGCCTCGATCGCGAAAATGGCAATCGGGGCCTTTTTGCGGAAAACCGTGTCTAGATTGGCCATGGATTATTTTCCGCAAAAAGTGCTTTTCTGGAAAAGCATCCTGCCAATCTAGGCGCGCTTTTCCGAAAATGCTTTTAACGAAAAAGTTTTCCGTTAAAAGCATTTCCAGAAAATCATGCCAGTGTAGACGTAACCTCAAAGTATATCTTTGGGTAGTTAATAAACTTTTCCCTTGTTTATAATATAATCCAGTTTCTGTAGTTTCAAAGGCTATGTCTAGACTACAGGCTTCCTTTGAAAGAAGCTTTTCTGGAAGAGATCTTCCAGAAAAACTTCTTCCAAAAGAGCACATCGAAAAAGTGATCTGCTTTTTCAAAAGATAGCATCCACACTGAATAGACACTATCCTGCATTTAAACTGTGATTACTATGGACAGAGTGGCCACCAGGGTACCTGAGCTTTTTCCTCTTTACTCTTCTTCCAAAAGAACTCCCTCTTCCCCTTCCATACAAGCCTATTGCCGGAAGAGCTCTTTCGGGAAAAGGCTTCTTCCTTGTAGAAAGAGGATTACCAATGCTGGAAAAACCCCTCCGTTCTTTCAATTTTCTTTTGAAAGAACGCGATTGCAGTGTGGATGTAACTGAAGGGATATAATTGAACAAAAACAATTGTTTTTCCGAAAAAAACTCTGTTGTGTAGACTTACCCTAACTGGGGTGGGGAGTGGCCAGGTGAGGGAGGAGATGAATTTTATATAACTTTGGGTTTGTACCCCAAGAGAGGTGGGCATCTAAATGCTACGCCAAATCTCTTAGGCTGAATCCTCCCAGAGCTGATATCAGAGTTAGTATAGTTCTGCTATTGGGTTTGGCCCTGCCTGTACGTATGCTGGAGAAGGCTTACGAATCTGACTCAGCAAGACAATAGCAAAGCCTGCCCAAGCTGACATAAAAGGTAGGCTCAGTGGGTATGTCTACACTACAGAGTTTTTTTCAGAAAAACGTCCGGGATTTTTTTCCGAAAGAAGCCTGTAGTCTAGACATAGTCAGTATCTCCAGCATGTCAGGTGATATCCCAGGGTTCCAACCCATCATGTTTGCCCCACTGATACCTTGTGGCAGGGAATTCTGCATCCTATTTAATCACTGTCTGAATTTACAATTGGGACCTCCCCACAAATACCCTTTCTGTACCTCCATTTCTAAGCATAGCCCATTGGATCATGACATGTGCAAGCACTTTGAAAGTGCATGTACTTATCTGTCCTGCATTGAAGATATTTATAAATGTGTTTCATTGCCTCATTTTTTAAAATTTTGTCACTACTGACGTACAAATTATGCCACTGCCCTTTTGAAATATATGGGATAAATTAGGATAACAATATGATAGGGTTGGAAGAGGCCTCAGGAGGTCATCAAGTCCAACTCCCTGCTAAAAGGAAGACCAACTCCAACTAACTCATCCCAGCCAGGACTTTGTCTAGCTGGGACTTAACAACCTCTAGGGATGGAGATTTTACCACCTCCCTAGGAAGCCCATCCCAGTGCTTCCCCACCCTCCTAGGGAAATAGCCTTTCCTAATATCCAATTTAGATCTCCTCCACTGCAACTTGAGACCATTGGTCCTTCTTCTGTCATCTGCCACCACTGAGAACAGTCTTTCTCCATCCTATTGGAACTCACCTTCAGGTAGTTGAAGGCTGCTATCAAATTCCAGTCCCCTTCCCTCACTCTTTGCTTCTGTAGACTAAATGAGGCCAAATCCCTCAGCCTGTCCTCATAAATCATGTGCTCCAGCCGACTCATTTTTGTTGCCCTCTGCTGGACTTTCTCCAGTGCGTCCACATCCTTCCTGTAAAGGGGGTCCAGAACTGGATGCAGTACTCCAGATGTGGCCTCACCAGTGCCGAATAAAGGGCAATATTCACTTCTCTAGATCTGCTGGCAATGCTTCTCCTAATGTCCCTAATATGTTGTTAGCCTTCTTGGCTACAAGGGCGCCCTGTTGACTCCTATCCAGCTTCTTGTCCACTGTAACCCCCAGGTCCTTTTCTGCAGAACTGCTGCTTAGCCAGTCGGTCTCCAGCCTGTAGTAGTGCTTGAGATTTTTTTGGGACAGGATCTTACTTCAATAACATTGACTTCAACTGTATCACTCCCAATTTACATGTGTAAATTCCATCAGAACTGGGCTATATTAACATTCAATTACCAAATAGTCCCGGTAATACCAATGCCCCTCAAAATCTCTTGAGAGATCTTGAAGTGAAGTACTTTGCCTGGCCAGTTTTGTCTTAATCCAGAGATGTGACTCCTTCTACAGGCTTCTCTTCATCCTCATGGCCCTCCATCCTCTAGCAATATAAAGATTTGTACATCTATGTCAAGTTACAAGCTAATACAGACAGTCATACTTCCTCTGAGCAGGGAAGAAGTTTACATGCTTCTATAACAGGTGATGGGCGTAAATTACAAACAACCACTATTGCACTCACATTTCAGTTCTACTCTGCAGAAACACAGACCAGAGATTCTGTTCTTTCATGGGTTTTGGGGTGGGGTTTTTTTGGACAGCCATCTACAGGTATTGCAGGGGCATTGCATTCCTTACCCTGTGGCTGTGTCTCGACTGGGAAGTTTTTCCGCAAAAGCAGCTGCTTTTGCAGAAAAACTTGCCAGCTGTCTACACTGGCCACTTGAATTTCTGCAAGAACACTGACGATCTCATGTAAGAAATCAGCGCTTCTTGCAGAAATACTATGCTGCTCCTGTTTGGGCAAAAGTCCTTTAGCGCAAAAGCTTTTGTGCAAAAGGGTCAGTGTAGACAGCTCAGATTTATTTTGCACAAAAATGCCCCGATCGCGAAAATGGCGATTGGGTTTTTTTGCGCAAAAGCGCATCTAGATTGGCACTGACGCTTTTCCGCACAGTTGACCCACAGTGTGTTGAAACCCAGAGACAAGTCAGAGACAAGTCTGAAGATGGGATTGTGAGACTCTGCCCCGGGAGAGGGCAGCATACAAGTCTTGACATCTAGCACTTGGAGACCAGAGCGGGGCAGAGATACTGGTAACCATCTAACTCTTAGGGATACCTGATGGGTAGAAAGCCTGGAGCCCTCTTTCTCAAGAAATAAGCCCTATCAGATCTATTGCCACAGATTCACACAGCTCTGAATTCTCACCTTCACAACTGATACAGAATCTAAAATCTTTGCAAATGCATTTGCTGATTAAATTTCTATAAGAAATACACCCGGAGCCTTTTGGGAACCAATCACTGATATGCCGTGGGGTCTCCCCTAGCTCATCCCTTGGCAGGGTTGAGCCCGGAGCATATGGCCCCTCTAGAAATGGGACTCATTAGGAAAACCTTACCAGGACATCACGGTCTTAACAGGCAGAGCACACTTGGGACGTCAGATTTCTGTGTTCTTAAATAACACATGGAGTGGCATGGGCAAACGTAGGGCAGGGTTTCCCAAGTGATCTGTGCAGCCTGCCCTGCAGCCCCATCATTGAGGGGATGTCTGCACTGCAGAGTTTTTTTGGAAAAATGGTAATTTTTCCGAAAAAAATCACGATGTCTACACTGACATTGCATTCTTTTGAAAGTAACTCGAAAGAACAGAGGGGTTTTTCTAGCATTGGTAAACCTCTTTCTACAAGGAAGATGCCTTTTTCCAAAAGAGCTCTTTTGAAAAAAGGCATGTGTGGCTGGGGAGGAGAGAATTCTTTCGGAAGAAGAGGAAAGAGGTAAAAGCACAGGTGCCCTGGTGGCCACGTCGCCCATAGCAATCACAGATTACATGCGAGAGAGCGTCCATTCACTGTGGATTCTTTCTTTTGTAAAAGCAGATCACTTTTTTGATGTGCTTTTGCAGTATAGACGCACTTTTTCGGAAGAAGTTTTTCTGGAAGATCTCTTCTGGAAAAGCTTCTTCTGAAAGAAGTCTGCAGTCTAGACATAGCCTGAGTCACCCCCACAGCTCAGCTGAGTCCTGTGCTGCTGCACAGAACAGCTGCCAATGCAAACAGCCTGCAGCCTTCACCCTGCACTTGGCATGTTACAGACAGTGACACCTGCCAACGTACCCAGTTCCTGCTAGAAAGGAGCCGCTGGAACCAGAGATCTTCACTGTAAAGGGCAAGGAGTCATCGGAGAGGTTGCACGGGCAGCAGGCAGTGTGTGTTCAGACAGGGAGGCAACTGCCTTTATGCAGCATGTTTGTACCTTCCCTTGGGGCCACTTGGCCATCAGGGAACCTCGGCTGCTTGGCTTTGTGTGCAACAGCTTTAACCCCGTCACAGTCAATGGCAAACAGCAGGAGGCCAAATCACAGGGATAGGGGTTGATACTAAACAACTGGCCTGCACCATCAGCCCTGCTGCAGGCTCCATTCCTGGAATCCAGGCTTGTAATCCCTGATCCAATAGTTCTGACTGGAGTGGAGGCCTAAAATTCACACAACACAACTGGCAGCTCCTGGCCTTGCTGCTAACCTGTTGACTGGCAGCCACCTGGCAGACACAAGCCCTTTGAACAGAAGCAGTTGAAAGGGCTTGCACGTTTCCGGCTCCCAGGCAACGCACTCGGGGGCAGGGCCTGGAATTGCTTCGCGGGCCAGATCAAAGCCCTAAGTGGGCCAGATCCAGCTCCTTGAGGGGCTTTTGCCCACCCCTGCTGTAGACACTGTAGATACTTCTGAGGGAATGTACAAAATAGGGACACCGTTGAGAGATCCACCCCATGGCATTTGAATTTAGCTTCGAGCAGTCAGAGATTCAGAGACACACAGAGCATGGGGATGCGTCCCTGACCGTCGTGGAGAGTAGACATTGAAGGATAGATCCTCCAGGGGCCGAGCTAATTCTTCTCTGGACTAGGGATGTAATAGTGCATACGAATAATTGATTAACTGATAAGCAAAAGCTTATAGGTTAATGCTATAGACTACAGGCACCCCAACCAGTAAATTTTTTAGCAGGCTGGCCAGCAGCCCGGCTCAGTCCTGGCTTATGACAAGTCCAGGACCTACCCCTGCTGTGGCTCTGCTTTTAAAGGCTGCGTCTAGACTGGCAAGTTTTTCCGTAAAAGCAGGCGCTTTTGTGGAAAAACTTGCCAGCTGTCTACACTGGCCGCTTGAATTTGCGCAAGAGCACTGACGATCTAATGTAAGATTGTCAGTGTTCTCGCACAAATACTATGCTGCTCCCATTCGGGAAAAAGCCCTCTTGTGCAAATGTATTTTCACAAGAGGGCCAGTGTAGACTGCTAAAAACTGTTTTGCGCAAAAAAGCTCCGATGGCGAAAATGGCGATCGGGGCTTTCTTGTGCAAAACCGCGTCTAGACTGGCACGGATGCGTTTCCACAACAAGTGCTTTTGAGCAAAAGCATCCGTGCCAATCTAGATGCTCTTTTCCTCAAATGCTTTTAACGGAAAAACTTTTCCATTAAAAACATTTGTGGAAAATCATGCCAGTCTAGACGTAGCCCTTGTGTATTGGCAGCCCAGACAGGCACCCCAGTTCAATTCCAGCTCACACTAGGTCCAGGAGCTCAGATCTCCCTAGACAAGGGCTGCTGCCACCCTGCACTGCTGCCTCTTTATCAGAAGCAACAGTACAGGGTGACAGGCAGCCAGCCATGAAACTTTTTAAACGGGCTTCCCTCACAGACCAGTTCCTGCTTGGCAGTCCGCGCTGCTGCCTCTGTATCAGAGGCAGCAGCATGGAGCGGCAGAGGACTCCTTGAGAGTGAGGTGCACTGGCTACTAGCCCCGCCCCCAGGAACTATAGAGTAGTCGACTAACCGATAAGAAGTAATGAGGTTATTCAACTATTCAGTTTACCGATATTTAGCATTCCTAGTTTGGACCAAAAAAACCCAACAAATGGTCTGGTAGCACTTTATAGACTAACAAAACATGTAGATGGGATCATGAGCTTTCATGGGCACTGCCCACTTCTTCAGATGACCAGAGCATGAGTAGGGGATAAAGAAAACTTGAAATAAATAGGAGGGGGAAAGGAGAGGGGGGAGAAAAAGAAAGAAAAAAAGGAAAAAGGAAGGGGTGTGTGAGACAGGGCATCATTAAGTATCTGAAGAATGGGTATTTAAACCTAAGCAGACCAAAGTAAATAGATAGATGTTGAGATAGGAAGGATACTACTCACAGAGCTGTTAGCACCTTCAGTGGTTATGAAGTAGATAATGTCCTAGCCAACCCATACCCATTAAGTCCATTAGCATGTGAATTGAATTTGTGTATGAAGTGTGATTTGAGTGCTTCCCTGTGGATCTGGCTTGTAGAGCTGGCCTGTGACAAGACAGCCACCTGCAGGTCTGTTAAACTGTGATTAGGCAAGCAGAAATGTTCACCAATAGGCTTCTGTGTGTTCCCTTTACGTATATCCAATTTGTGTCCATTGATTCTTTCCCGCAGAGACTGTCCAGTTTGTCCAATACACACACACACACACACACACACACACACACACAGAGTAGTGGGACATTGTTGGCATTTGATGGCATAGATCAAATTACTAGATGCAGTCAAATGACCCTTTGATTTTGTGGCTTATGTTGTTTGCTCCAGTGATGAATTCATCAGTGTAGATATGTGGGCAGAGTTGGCATCTTTTTTGGTTGCAGGGCTGGGTTCCTGGAGGCTTATGATGTGGTTGTGTGGCATGGTTACCAGAAAGAATAAGTTTCAGGTTAGGGGGTTGTCTGTAAGCAAGAATAAGTTTTTCTCCAAGACCTCTGAGAGTGAGGGATAATGCAAGCACATCCCCGTCCCCTGGCGTGCCCCTGGACGCGCCGCCGTGGCCCCGCCCCCAGGCACCCGGCGCATGAGTGGCCCCACCCCCGGGAATCCGGTAGCCTCTAAAGGTTGGGGACCACTTTGTTAAAGTATGGTTAGGTAAGCAGAAATGTTCACCAATAGATTTGTCTGTGTTCCCTTTATGTAAATCCGATTTGTGTCCATTGATTCTTTCCCGCAGGGACCGTCCAGTTTGTCCAATATATATGGCAGCGGGCAAAGAGCTGAGATTTTCCCCAGACGCAGTACTCAAAACATGTTGTAGAAGATAAAACCTAAAACAAGTTTATTACCTTAAAAAGTTGGATTAAAAGTGATTATTAGGGATAGCAAAGAGATCAAAACACTTTATGCAGCAAATGAACAAAGCTGCAAACAAAGTCTAAGATACTCAATGGATTCCACTTGAATGAGCAATTTCTCATCTTGACTGATGACACAAGCAGACCTCCACGTTTTTCTATTCTGGCTTGAAATGCCTTTATCCTGGGATCGAGGTTTCCACCAGTTCAGTTGCTGTCCCTCAGGTGTTTCCAGGAGTTCTCTTGTGTGGGAGCGAGGCCATGAGGTGATGACACTCCCCACCCGCTATAGTTTTTCCATAGGGAGGGAACCTTTGCTTCAAGCCCAGTTCTCAGTCCAGTAAATATAGAGGTACCAAAATAGAATTGAGTGCAATGTGGTCTGGTCACATACCCTGCTGAGTCATAGCAGCCATTACTCATAGGCTGACTGTACAGTTTACAGTCCCTAATCTTGGTTGATGACCCACTAGATCGGGAGGGCAATAATTTTTGATGGGGGCAGACCACACCAAGAATTTGGTAAATGGCCAAGAGCTGGACTCTTCCACGGTATTAATGGAGGAAGTGAGGGGTCTGACATGGAGACTGGATGCGGAAAGGAGCTTGGGGTAAGGGACTAAGGTGTAGGAGGGGGACTGGGGTCTAGGAGGGACTTTGGGTGAAGGAGAGGGTTGTGACCTGGAACAGGGGGCTGGGGTGCAGGAGGGGGTGAGTTTTACCCAGAAAAAACACATTGGAAACAAAGCTGCACATAACTTCCAAAACAAAAATGATACAAGCACACAAATAGGATAATCATATTCAGAAAATCATAGCTTCAGCAATGACGCCTCACAAGACATAACTTCTACCAGATGCATCATAATTACGCCTTAATGAAGTTGGAGCAGCCAGCAATTTGGCTCTACTTGGGCCAATATCACACGCATCCCCTGGATGTCCACAAAAATGGTCACTTTCAAAAAGCTGCCACATCCCTTGGTCTCCTTTCCCATTTACTGTCCTCTCTACCAACCCCTCTCCCATTTCTCCAGGCCTTAGACTCTGCTAAAACCTCTCACTATCCTGTGGATATCAGTATGTGATGTTGTCTTAGATATGAGGGTCTAGGATGAAATAGAGGATTGAGGCCCATGGATTGAGTCTCCCATGCCATCAGAACTGCAGAGGGGTTATGAATGGATCCTTCTGTGTGCAAATACCCTGATGATCCTCGCACGAAGGTCTTTGCTTTTCACGCTGTACACAATTGGGTTCATCAGGGGAGGCACCAGTAGGCCAATGTAGCTAAGAAGAATCTGAAGCAAGGGAGAAGAGCTATTCCCAAATCTGGGTAGAATAGACAAGCTGATCTCTGGCGTGTAGAAGAGCAGGACGGCACAGAGGTGGGAGACACAGGTGTTCAGGGCCCTGAGGCATTCCTCATGGGATGCGATGCTCAGCACTGTTTTGAGGATCATCACGTAAGAGAAGAAAATGAGCAGCGAGTCCAATCCCATCGTTAAGATTTCAATAGACAAGCCATAGATACTGTTGACTCTGGTGTCCGAACAAGCCAACTTCATGATGTCCTCGTTCCGGCAGTAGGAATGGGAGAGGACATTTCCTCGACAGTACTGGAACTGCCTCAGAAGAAGGGGCAGTGGGAGTATTATGAGAACTGATCTTAGCACACACCCTAGCCCCATCTTGCCTATTCTCAGCAGGGTTAAGATGGAGGTGTATCTCAGTGGGTTACAGATGGCGATGCAGCGGTCAAAGGCCATTAACAAGAGCACGGCAGATTCAGAGCATTGAAGCACAGAAATGAAGAACACTTGGGCAATACAGGCATTGAGGCTGATCTTCCTGGAGTTAAACAAATATATGCCCAGTATGGTCGGCATGGTGGCTATCGATAAGCCAAGGTCGGCGAGGGCCAGCATGGAGAGAAAAATGTACATGGGCTCATGGAGGCCTGGGTCTGTTTTTATAATGAAGAGAATGACTGAATTTCCTAATATACAAATAGTATATACTAAGCAGAAAGGGATAGAGATCCACAGATGAATGTCTTCCTGTTCTGATATCCCGGTGAGAAGGAACATGGCATAGTTTAATTTGGTGTTGTTGACAATTAACATAATGTGCTGGGCAGGTCTTAGGAGATTTCTTCCTGAACGGAGAAAGAACAGGAGGCTAGCTGATATTTAAGAAGACGTCTTTCTCCTCCAACTGCTGTGATTGGCACTGCCAGACTTAATGAGACCTGTAGTCCTTCTAGCTCAGTATCCAGTGGCCAATTCCAGATTCTGCAAAGGAAGGTGGAAGAAGCCCTGCAATAGTCAGCTATGAGACAACCTGCTCCCAAGGAAAGTTTCCCCCTGACACCCACCAACTGAACACATTTTTGTTAAGAGCCCTTCCGAGGTGTTTTTTAATGATCCCTACTGTACTTGGATTTTCTCGTTACCTCTATAAACATCAAGTCCTTCTTTGACTCCTTCAAACCTCTTGGTCCTATTGATGTCTTGTGGCTGGTAATTCCACAGACTACTTGAAAACTATGTGACGTTCAACACCTTCTTTGACCCTCCACTTCTGACTGTGCCCATTGTATCATAACATTACTGTCCACTACTGAGGGTCTAAATTATGCTACTGGTTTTTTGCAGTACTTAGGATAAATTATTAGGGCCAGATGTTTAATTCAGTAACGTTCATTTCAACTGTGTCACTCCAGACTGCCAAGTAAATTCAGTCAGAACCAAGCTCTGATAACTTTCCTCTACCAAATGCTCCCACTAATACACTCTCACCGCCAAGAATACACCCTAGAGAAGCTGAAGTGCTTTGCCTGGCTAGGGTTGACCAAACCCAGAGTTTTATTAAAGTTACAGACTTCCCTTCATCCTCACATGACCTGCATCCTCTCCCTATGCAAGAGTCTGTAGATATCTGCAAGTTACAAGCTAATACAGCCCGTGACTTCAGCTTAGCAGTGGAAGGATTGGCATCCCACAGCTGTGAATAGTGCAACTACTACACTTGCGTTCATATCCAATTGCATGTACATGGTATTTCAACCATGCAAGTGTAGCTGGTGATGTTTGTCAATGACATACATCCATTATTACTCTCCCATTTTGTGCACCTCTTCTCTGCTCTTTGCTGAATCATACTGTTCTGTTCTTGCAGGACTTTTGGAAAGTCTTGTACAGGTTTGGCAGAGGAATTGAATTCATGACCCTGAATGTAAGTGTTAGAAACAGCTTCTGGTCAGTTATGAGTGAACAGTATCATACACCCGTTCACTGAAGAAAGAGTTAAGAGCACAAATCCTTAGTAAACTATATTTGAAGTACTTCTAAAATAGTTTCACAAAGCAGTAAAGTTACCACTGCTTCTTCCTGTACAAATTCCAAGAACTCTGCTGCTGACTTTCAATTCACGTGCATGCCATGAAAGTTTGAATGGTAATATTTGTATTACAATGAACCATTTGGGCATAACATTTGCACACCTGTACTTCACTACACACATACTGGCCACAGATGCCGAATACTCAGAGCTGCCCAGCAAGCACCATCTACCTACAGTGCGCTGTAGCCCACGGTCAGTCTCGGGATGGGAGGGGCATTCCGTTCCATGAGAGGGAAGGGTACCAAGACAGAAATCTGGCATTCACAAACCAGAGAGGTGCAGCAGTGCTGATAACCCTGGAACTGTGAGGTGTAGCTATCGGGTAGAAGATTCCATAACTCTCAGATGTTAAAGAAATGGAGATGTGGCTGAGCGGAGCTCTGAATTCCTGCCTTTGCTGTCAAGTCAGAGGGTTGAACTCTTGACAACCCATTTGCTGAGCAAGTAAACCTGAGGCCTTTTCAAAACCAGTCACTGCTATTATGTGGAGTTTCCTCTCCCCCCCCTCCCTTGGCAGGATTGGGCTCAGGCCGCTCAGAACATGTGGAAATGGGATCCATCAAGAAATCCTGACTTGGGGCATCAGCGTTTTACAACTGCAAGCTTGGTGTGAATGTCAGATTTCTACATTGTTTGAATAACCCACCAAGGTTCATGGGCAGATGGAGGGGAGGGTTCCTAAGCTGCCTACTGCTGCCTGCCCTCCAGCCCTGTCACTGAGTCACCCCAACAGCCCCGCTGAGTCCTCTGCCGCTTCCGGGCAGATGGAGGGGAGGGTTCCTAAGCTGCCTACTGCTGCCTGCCCTCCAGCCCTGTCACTGAGTCACCCCAACAGCCCCGCTGAGTCCTCTGCCGCTTCCCAGAACAGCTGCCAATGCAAACAGCCTGCAGCATTCACCCTGCACTTGGCATATTACAGACAGTGAAACCTGCCCACGTACCCAGTTCCTCTTAGAAGGGGAGATGTTGACATCAGAGGTCTTGACCCTAAAGCAGAAGGAGTCATCAGAGAGGTTGCATGGGCAGCAGGCAGTGTGTGTTCAGACAGGGAGGCAACTGCCTTTATGCAAAATGTTTGTACCTTCCCTTGGGGCCACTTGGCCATCAGGGAACCTCAACTGCTTGGCTTCATGTGCACCAGCTTTAAGCCTGTAATGGCCAATGCAAATGGCAGGAGGCCAAATCACAGGAGATGGGTGGTCATGAGGCTACCCAAAGGGTCTGCAGTGCGAGCCCTGCTGCAAATTCTGTAACTGCGCTTCTTGTCAGACCTGGAAAATTGGGACCTGCTGCTCACAAACAGGGAGGAACTAGTAGGAGAAGTAGAGGTGGGTGGCAACCTGGGCAGAAGTGATCATGAGATGGTTGATTTCAGGATCCTGACCAAAGGAAGGAAGGAGAGCAGCAAAATACAGACCTTGGACTTCAGAAAAGCTGACTGTGACTCCCTCAGAGAACTGATGGGCAGAATCCCCTGGGATGCTAACATGAAGGGGAAAGGAGTCCAGGAGAGCTGGCAGTATTTTAAAGAACCCTTATTAAAGGCACAGAAGAAACCATCCCGATGCCAAGGAAGAAAAGTAAATAGGGTTAGGCCAGCTTAGCTTAACAGTGAAATCCTTGGTGAGCTCAAACCAAAAGGGAACTTACAAGATGTGGAAACTTGGACAGATGACCAGGGAGGAGTATAAATATTTTGCTCGAACATGCAGGGGTGTAATCGGGAAGGCCAAAGTGCAATTGGAATTGCAGCTAGCAAGAGATGTGAAAGGTAACAAGAAAGGTTTCTACAGGCATGTTAGCAATAAGAGGGTGGTCAGAGAGGATGTGGGGGATGAGGGAGGTAACCAAGTGACAGATGATGTAGGAAAAGCAGATGTACTCAATGCTTTTTTACCCTCTGTCTTCACAGAAAAGGTCGGCTCCCAGATTTATGCACTAAACAACATAGTATAGGAAAGAGGTGGGCAGCCCTCGGTGGAGAAAGGACAGGTTAAGAACTATTTAGAAAAGCTGGACATACACAAATCCATGGGTCCGGATTTAATGCATCCGAGGGCACTGAGGGAGTTGGTAAATGTCATTGCAGAGCCTTTGGCCATTATCTTTGAAAATTGTGGAGATCGTGAGAGATCCCGGATGACTGGAAAAAGGCAAATGTAGTGTCCATCTTTAAAAAAGGGAAGAAGGACGATCAAGGGAACTACAGACCAGTCAGCCTTATCTCAGGCCCCATAAAAATCATGGAGAGGATCCTCAAGGAATCCATTTTGAAGCACTTGGAAGAGGGGAAAGTGTTAGGAATAGTCAACATGGGTTCATCAAGGGCAAGTCATGCCTGATCAATCTGATTAGCTTCTCTGATGAAGTATTTGGCTCTGTGGACATGGGGAAGTCAGTGGATGTGATGTATCTTAACTTTAGTAAAGCTTTTGATACACTCTCCTATAATATTCTTGCCAGCTAGTTAAGGAAGTATGGATTGAATAAATGGACTGTAAGGTGGACAGAAAGCTGTCTAGATTGTAGGGCCCAGAGGGTAGTGATCAATACCTCGATATCCAGTTGGTAGTCCATTTTGAGTGGAGTGGCCCACGGATCAGTTCTAGGGATGGTTTTGTTCAAGAATGAAGGGATGGATTGTACCCACAGAAAGTTTGTGGATGACACTAAGATGGGGGAGAGGTAGATACACTGGGGGCTATAGGGTCCAGAGTGACCTAGACAAATTAGAGGATTGGGCCAAAAGAAATCTGATGGGATTAAACAAGGACAAGTGCAGAGTCTTGAACTTGGGACAGAAAAAAACCAAGCATTGTTACAGGCTGGGGACCGACTAGCTAAGCTGTAGTCCAGCAGAAAAGGACTTCGGGATTACAGAGGATGAGCAGCTGGATACAAATCAACAATGTGCCCTTGTAGCCAAGAAGACTAATAACATATTGGGGTGCATTCGGGGAGCATTGCCAACAGATCTAGAAAGGTGATTATTCCCCTTAATTCAGCACTGGTAAGGCCACATCTGGAGTATTGTGTCCAGTTCTGTACCCCCCACTATAAAAAGGATGTGGACACATTGGAGAAGATCCAGTGGAGGGAAACCAAAATGATTAGGGGGCTGGAGCACATGACCTACAAGGAAAGTCTGAGGGATTTGGGCTTATTTAGTTTGCAGAAGAGAAGTATGAGGGGGAATTTGATAGCAGCCTTCAACTTCCTGAAGGGAGGTTCCAAAAAAGGATGGAGAGAGTCTGTTCTTAGTGGTGACAGATGGCAGAATAAGGAGCAATGGTCTCAAGTTGCAGTGGGTGAGGTCTAGGTTGGATATTAGGAAAAACTATTTCCCTAGGAGGGTGGTGGAGCACTGGAACGTGTTACCTAGAGAGGGGGTGGAATCTCCATCCCTAGAGGTTTTTAAGTCTCGACTTGACAAAGCCCTGGCTGGGATGATTTAGTTGGGTTTGGCCCTGCTTTGGACCTCCTCAGGTCTCTTCCAGTTATGAATCTATGACCAACTCTTAGTACACAGATGTTAGTACTTCCCTGTCTCACCTGACAGATTTTAGGATCTCAATTGTCTTGTTCACAGCTGCATCACATTGGCGGATCACAGTCATTCTGAGACTGAAAAATACCCCCAGCTTTTTGTCCTCCCCCGTCATTTTCAACCTATCTTTGGGTATAAAAACAGAGGTATAATGTGAAGATTGAGTGCTGACTTGATAACAATGCACAAGCATTTTCACAGAAACACAATACTAGCTACCTTTAATCTGCAGGCAAAGGCGTTACCAGAACCAATGACTGGACCCTGAAGCCAGACTAACTGGAAATGAGGAAACTTTTTTAACATTGTGCGTGCTTAACCAGTGGAACAAACACCCAGGCGATGTGTTGGGTTCTCTTCATCTCTCCAAATCATGAGCAAAAACCTTCCTGGAAGATACACTTTAGATGAACGCAAGTTATGTGTTAGTCAAACCCATGTCATTCGGCTTAATACAGGGGTAACTGGGCAAAATTCTGCAAGCCAGATGATCTGATATTCCCCTGTGGTCTTCATTTCTAGGAACCTATGAAGCCTTGCCTTGAGTGGGTTATAATCATGAATGTGTAACCATCATCAGGCAGTTTTGAACATGAGACCTTTGGAGCTTATAGGAGTCTCTACTACTTGAGCTATAATACCACCTGGCTTGCAGCTTAGGGTATAGTGCTCCCTTGTTCTTAGCTCTCACTCTCCATTGTCTAAGTGCCACTTCCTGGGACAGTGAACCACACCAGGGCTACGTCTAGACTGGCATGATTTTCCGGAAATGCTTTTAACGGAAAAGTTTTCCATTAAAAGCATTTTCAGAACAGAGCATCTAGATTGGCACGGACGCTTTTCCGCAAAAGCACTTTTTGCTGAAAAGCGTCTATGCCAATCTAGACACGCTTTTCCGCAAAAAAGCCCCAATCACCATTTTCGCAATCGGGGCTTTTTTGCAGAAAACAAATCTGGGCTGTCTACACTGGCCCTTGCGCAAAAGGACTTTTGCCCGAACGGGAGCAGCATAGTATTTCCGCAAGAACACTGACAATCTTACATGAGTTCGTCAGTGCTTTTGCGGAAATTCAAGCGGCCAGTGTAGACAGCTGACAAGTTTTTCCAGAAAAGTGGCTGATTTTCTGGAAAAACTGGCCAGTCTAGACACAGCCCAGGTGTGTGAGTTAAAAATGCAACTTGAATAAGTCCCTACTCTGAACACTAATAGGCACTCTACAAAGATAGATCCAACAAAAAAGAATCAGGATTGTCCCAGTAAAACTGGGATGTGCGGTGCCTTTACACTGCAAACCTGGTCCTTTCTTGTCTTCAGAAGAACCTTAGCATTTAATCATGACCGCTGTGGATAAAGTCAATAAGGAAGTGTATGCACAGTCCATCTGGTGGCCTCCTTACCAGAGGATGTTGTAAAGACCACGATGAAAATAGTGTTCAAAAAGGGGCTAGGTGTGTTCATGGAGGATAGGTCCATCAAGGGCTATTAGCCAGGATGGGGTGGGATGGTGTCCTGGGCTGGGCTATTAGCCAGGATGGGGAGGGATGGTGCCTGGGCTCCTATTGCCAGAAACGGGGAACGGGTGACAGGGGAGAGCTAACTTGATAATTGCCTGTTCTCCTCCTTCACTCCTGGGCACCTGGCATTGGCCACTGCAGAAAGACAAGATAATGTGCTAGATAGAACAGCACAAACAGAGGGGACAGGGAGGGAATGTGGGCCTGCGTCTCTTGCCACGACACCTGCGTGTCAGCCCCTCTCTCTTGCACACAGCTGTGGGGAGTGGCCTGCCTCAATGCTTTTCCCAGAGTCCCCTGCATTAGTCATGTCTCTGATATGACCCAGTCACAAGCACCTAGCTGAGGATGGAGGGGGAAGGGTGGGTGACTGTGTCCCTTGGATAGCCCCTGCTCCAGACCCATGGATCACGCAGCACCCAGAGTGCTCAGGAAGGACCAGGACTGAGACTGCAGAACAGCTCTGCAGCTTTCTCTCATGGCCCTTGGATGTTTAATCAGGAACGGGAGAGTGGCAGGTCAGGTGTCATGGGAAAGATCATGCACGTCCCTTCCCTGTATTGACGGCATCAATGGGAGTTCTGAGGTTGGAGCAACCACTGATATGGCTCCTTTTGAGCCCACATCACACGCATCCCCTGGGTCCCCACAATTCAGCCACTTTCTAAATGTTGTTCCCTGCCTCAGTCTCCTTCCCCTACTTTACTGTTCTCACCAGCCCCTGTCCCATTGCTCCAGGCCTTACACACCATTGAAATGCCTTGCTACACAGTGGAAACTGGTAAGTCGTGCTGTTTCAGATAGAAGGGTCGAGGATGGAATGGATGGCAGTGGCCTGTTTTTCCTTCTGTCTCATGTCATCAGAGCTGGAGAAGGGTTATGAATGGGCCCTTCCCTTCGAAAACACCCTGATTAGCCTCGCACGAAGGTCCTTGCTTTTCACGCTGTACACAATCGGGTTCATCAGCGGTGGCACCAGCAGGGCGATGTAACTCAGGAGAATCGGAAGCAAGGGAGAGGCACCCTTTGCAAATCTGTGTAAAAAAGACAAGATGATCTCTGGTGAGTAAAAGAGTAGGACGACACAGAGGTGGGAGATGCAGGTGTTCAGGGCCCTGAGGCACTGCGTGTGGGAAGTGATGCTCAGCACTGTTTTCAGGATCATCATGTAAGAGAGGAAGATGAGCAGCGAGTCTAAACCCATCGTTAAGATTTCAATAGACAAGCCATAGATGCTGTTGACTCTGGTGTCCGAACAAGCCAACTTCATGATGTCCTCGTTGCGGCAGTAGAAATGGGAGAGGACATTTCCTCGACAGTACTCAAACTGCCTCAGAAGAAGGGGAAGTGGGAGTATTGCGGGAACTGATCTTAGCACGCACACCAGCCCCATCTTGCCTATTCTCGGCAGGGTTAAGATGGAGGCATATCTCAGCGGGTTGCAGATGGCGATGAAGCGGTCGAAGGCCATCACCAAGAGCACGGCAGATTCCGTGCATTGAAGTGCAGCAATGAAGTAAATCTGGGCAATACAGGCATGGAGGCTGATCTCCCTGGAGTTAAACAAGTACACGCCCAGGATCGTCGGAGTAGTGGCTATCGATAAGCCAAGGTCTGTGAGGGCCAACATGGAAAGGAAAATGTACATGGGCTCATGGAGGCTTGGGTCTGTTTTTATAATGAACAAAATGATGGAATTTCCTAATATACAAATAATATATACTAAGCAGAAGGGGATAGCGATCCAGAGGCGGACATCTTCCTGCCCTGATATCCCAGTAAGAAGGAACACGGCATAGTTGAATTGTGTATGGTTGACAACTGACATCATGTACCGGGCAGCTCTGAGGTGTTTCCTTCCTGAAAGACAAAAGAACAGGAAATTAGTTGCAGGTACAAATTCTGCTACTGGCTTTTTGTAGTACATGGGATAAATACTTAGGGACAGGTGCTTAAGTCAACAACACTGATTTCATCTGCATCAATACAGACTTACATGTGTAAATTCAGTCAGAACCACTCTATTCACTTTCCCATATGAAATGCTCTCACTGACACACTCTGACCCCCAAGAATGCATCCTAGAGAAGCTGAAAAGTGCTTTGCCTGGCTAATTCTAACTGAACCCAGAGAGTTTTACTAATCTACAGGCTTCTCTTCTTTTTCATAGAACCTGTATCCTCTCCCTATGCAGGGGTCTGTAGATGTCTGGCAAATTACCAGCTAAGATAGACAATAACTTCAGGTGGCATCACACGTGTGTGAAAAAGGCAAACACTAGATTTGTGCTCATATCTCATTGATGTACAAGTGACGTCAACCATGTCAAGTTTAGAAAAGAGAAGATGAGAGGGGACATGATAGCAGCCTTCAAGTACCTAAAAGGGTGTTACAAGGAAGAAGGAGAAAAATTGTTCTCCCGGGCCTCTGAGGATAAGACAAGAAGCAATGGGCTTAAATTGCAGCTAGGGAGGTTTAGGTTGGATATTGGATATGAGGAAAAACTTCCTGTCAGGGTGGTTAAACACTGGAATAAATTGCCTTGGGGGGGGGGGTTGTGGAATCTCCATCACTGGAGATATTTAAGAGCATGGTGGATAGACACCAGTCAGGGATGATCTAGATGGTACTTGGTCCTGCCGTGGGGGCAGAGACTGGACTTGATGACTTCTCAAGGTCCCTTCCAGTGTGGAAGCAGGACTAAGAGAAAGGGGATTTGGGTGGCCATTTCAGGGTTTGTCAGTAGCAGAGCAAGAGTCTGGTTCACTCTGACTCCTGCTAACGCGAGAGCTAGAAGAGACGCTGTGTTCGCCTCTCTGTTTCTCACACATAGATAAGAGTGGAATGCTTACCTCAGTGAGAACCTTGAGATAAGACAGTGTCCGATGGGAACTGAGTGGGCAGGGAAGTAATTGTTTAATGTTATATGTAACAGAAGGGTATATATATTGGCTTTAAATTGTTTTGTATTTGAAGATCCGCTTACGCTGTCTTCCCTTGCAATATTGCTCGAATAAACTGCCTCTGGCTACTTGTTGCTTAAACACAACGCAGAGTGAAGGCTCGTTTTCTTCCACACCAGTTCTAATATTCTGTGATTCTATGATTCTGTGCACTCGTAGCTGGTGAGGTGCATGAATTACATAGACCCCCTGTAACACTTCTCTTTCCTGCATCTCTGAATGTAAGTGCTGGTAAAAGCATCTGTTTAGTTACCAGGGGACGATATCACACAACTGTCCACTGAAGAAAGAGTTAATAACACAATTACATTGTAAGCCATATGGGGAGTACTTCTAAAATAGTTTCATTAAGCAGTAAAGTTACCACAGCTCCTTCCTTTAAAAATTCCAGTAATGTTGCTGCTGACTTTCAATATAGGTGCCTGCCATGAAAGTTTGAATTGCAGTATTTGCATTATAATGAACATTTGAGGCATACTATTTGCACATCTGTATTTTAATACACACACGGCAACCGCAGGTGACAAATGCACTTGAAACCACCCAGCAAGCACCATCAACCTACAGTGGGCTGTAGCCAGGGTCAGTCTGAGGGTGGGAGCAGCCTTCGATTCAACCCATGAGAGGGCAGGTTACAGGCCTGACATGTGGTACTCGCACTCCTGAGAGGGGCAGAAATGCCGGTATCCCTGTAACTCTGAGGTATCTCTACAGGGTAAAAGATCCAGAACTCTCAGATACTAAGGAAATGGAGTTATGGCTCATTGGAGCGGTTACCTCAGAGCTCTGAATTCCTGCCTTCACTGTCGAGTCGGAAGGTTAAACTTTGAAATCCCATTTGCTGAGCAAATAAACTCAAGGCCTTTTGGGAACCAGTCACCGATATTCTGTGGGGTTACCTCTCGCTCAGCCCCTGGCAGGATTGGGCTCAGGCTGCCCAGTACCACTGGAAATGGGAAACATCATGAAATCCTGACTTGGGGCATCACGGTTTTACAACTCCAAGCAAGAGTGTCAGATTTCTGGGTAGCTTGAATAACCCACCAAGGTTCATGGGCACATGGAGGAAATGGGTCCCCAAACTAACCGGCACTTCCTGCCTTTCAGCCCTGCCTCTGAATCACCCCCACATCCCAGCTGAGTCCTCTGCCGCTGCACAGAACAGCTGCCAATGCAAACAGCCTGCAGCCTTCGCCCTGCACTTGGCATGTTACAGACAGTGACCCCTGCCAACGTACCCAGTTCCTGCTAGAAGGGAGCCGCTGGCACCAGAGGTCTTCACCCTGAAGCACAAGGAGTCACCAGAGAGGTTGCACGGGCAGCAGGCAGTGTGTGATCAGATAGGGAGGGAACTGCCTTTATGCAGCATGTTTGTACCTTCCCTTGGGGGCCACTTGGCCATCAGGGAACCTCAGCTGCTTGGCTTCGTGTGCACCAGCTTTAACCCCATCACAGCCAATGGCAAATGGCAGGAGGATAAACCACAAGGGATGACTGGGTCATGATGCTACCCAAGTGGCCTGCAGTGCAAGTCCTGATGCAAATTCTGTTACTGGGCTTGTCGTCATGCTTTGTATGATTCTAATTAGTCACATGGCTACCCTGGGGGAATCAAAGCAGTAATGATATTTCAATAATAATCATAGAATCATAGAGTACTAGGACTGGAAGGGACCTCGAGACGTCATTGAGTCCAGTCCCCTGCCCTCATGACAGGACCAAATACTGTCTAGACCATCCCTGATAGACACTTCTCTAACGAAGAAGAAGAAGAAGAAGAAGAAGAAGAAGAAGAAGAAGAAGAAGTCTCCCCAGAAGCCCCCTTTCCTGCATTAGAAACCCAGGGTGCAGGTGAGAGAAGGGAAATTTCTTTTGGTTCGTTCCAGCGCTGAAGGTCCCTTCCCTTCTCCATGAGGAATGAAAAGGGGGACCCAGGGATTCCCAAAGTTAGGCACAGATCTCAGTGATCCACTGGTAGCCAGGCCCAACCACCCACAATCTCTGGGCCTCTGCAGCTGCTGTAGGACCCTCTCTCCAGCTCCCTGCTAGCAGAGATTCATCAGAGATGTGCTACCCGGGCTTGTGACAGCAGTCGCTGCCCATAGTATCAGCTCCTGAGGGTGTTGTAGAGATGGGCGGGGGCTGCACAGTGAAGGGAAAACTGATTGGAGTAGCTGGTGGGCACAATAACCCATCCCTAAACTGGTTAGGGGCTTAATATTTTTATACCCAGAGTGCAGCCACTAGCTCTGTCAGGACGGCCTTCATTGGGTATGTCTACACTACACTAATTCGAACTACTTAATTCGAACTAGGCGTTACTCCTCGTAGAATGAGGTTTACCTAGTTCGAATTAAGCGCTCCGCTAGTTTGATTTAAATTCGAACTAGCGGTTTGTATGTGTAGCCGCTATTAAAGTTAATTCGAACTAATGGCTGTTCGTTCGAATTAACTTTGTAGTGTAGACATACCCTTTTAGCCTCCGATTTCTCTTTGGGATCAAAGCAGCTGCAGCCGGGCAGGCTTGTGGAAGCTGAGTTTTCAGAGAGAAAAAAAAATCCATTTTCTATGAAAACATCACCCCAAAAAGAGAAACAGTTTTGTGTGGGTCACAATTTGGAATACGGGGGAAATCTCTCCATTTTCCAGCCCAGGTCTAGCTCGAAGAATGAGCCGCTGCCCCACTCACCACCAGGTGGCAGCACTCACCCCCACCAGCCTCCCTCTCTGCCAGCTCTATAACAGAGGGAGCCATGTAACAGGGCAACTATCAAGTGATCCGTCTCATGGCGTCTGCTCTCAGCTTCTGGCAGTCAGTGGTTCGGAGACACCCTAGGGGGCACATCTACACTAGGAAGCTATTTCGAAATAATTAATATCAGTGTCATACCTCCCCAAATAACAAATTCGAAATAGTGTGCCATCAAAACTAGCCCGAAGCAGGCGCCGTTAATGGGGACGCGCTAACTCGACTTGAAGCACTGGAGAGTAATTAGTTTGAATTACTCTGGCGGGTAGTGCTTTTGAGAGTAATTAGTTTGAATTACTCTGGGGGGTAGTGCTTTCAAAATAGGGGCATCGGAGTGTCCAACTCACTGCTATGTCGACGTAACTATTTCAAAATTAGCGTTAGTCCTCGAGGAAAGCCGGAGTGCAGATTTCGAAAGAAGCGGTCCATTATTCCAAAATAACTTGCTTGGTAGCGTGGACGCTCTGCTTATTATTTCGACCTAAGGGGGGGTTATTTCGAAATAAAGCCCTAGTTTAGATCAGGACCTAGAGCATGGGTCTCTGTCTGATCATCTTGGTTAGTAAAACCTGATGGACCTGTTTGTGATGGGGTGAGGTCACAGAAGACCCCCTGGGGGTGCTTCCCAGGATGCTGGCAAGGCCACTGACACTCACCTTCCTACTCTGCGGGGCTTCTCACCACCCTGTCCTGCTGGGCCAGCTCCCTGGTCTCTCTCAGCCAAGGAGCAGAGTGAGATCACTGCCTTCCCTCCTCTCCTCCTCCCCCACCTCCAACGAAGCAGTACAGACACTGAAAATCTTCAGGTCCAAGGAAAATTCTGCTTAGGGCCTAGCTTCCTGGGATACCCCTCCCCAGATGGGATCAGAGCCCCCAGTGAATTATTTAGGTAAGCCCCCTTTTAACTATGACAGTAGGATGTGTACACTGATTGCCCCTGCCCGCAGGTAACAATTATTTACACTGGGCTTGATAGTAAACAAAGCCCTGGCTGGGTTGATTTAGTTGGGGGTGTAGAAGCTGTAGAAACCATTTCATATTTAGCTAGAAGCCATCTTGTATAACAGAAACCATTTCAGCTTTTCTCTCAAGCACGTAGACCAGAGTGAACTTTCT